GTCATAACATTCTCCCGAAATATCTTTTTTGAGAATGGTAACTTGTATATATATTAATAAGAACAAAAAACAGCACGAAAGCAGTGTCGAGCTATATTTACAAAAAGAGCAGACCTCAGCTATGTTAACCTAAGGTTGCAGAGCACCAATTAAATCTACTAAAGATTCTGCCTCCTCTAAAAGCTATCTTTACTCTAGAAATGAAACAAAAGGAAACAATTCATTTTAATATTAACGAGTTGCTTCCGTCTTCAAAAATTGCTGAATTTCTCCCCATCCAGACAATCCACCAAATGCAAGTAGGAACCGATCTCCACCATTTCTTCTGTCTCACTATACACCCATTATAATTCCAACACTTCAACAGATCACAAGTGTTTGTTGGCATACTCCATTTAAGGCCCACAATATTCAGAAAAAGTTGCCATAGTTGGTAAGTGACAAGGACAGTGAAGAAACAAATGGCTATTGGTTTCTCTAGCTGTACCACAAAGTGCGCATTTAGAGCAAAATGGAAACCCCTTCTACTCAAGTTTTCTTGTGTTAAACATGCTTCTCTTGCCACCAACCATGAAAAAACAGATCACCTTGAGAGGTGCCTTAACTTTCCAGATTAAATTTAGATATCCGAGTTTTATCCATTTAGGCACCACAATCCCGTCTCATTTCATCTTATTTCACTCTTTTTGTGTTGGTTAAACTTGCAGTCCACATATTCAATCTTACTTCTACTTATCCTGAAACCCTTACTCTTGAGTGACTCCATAGTTTAAGAAAATATCGTCTGCAGGTAGCATATACCATGAGACCCATCTTGAATATTGTTAGTTAGCTCATCCATACGTAGATCTAGATAAGCAACTACAAGCTTAACGAAAATCCCTGGTATAAACCCTAAAATTGTGAAAACTCATTTGTATCACCTACCAACACTAATAGTTCCTTCCTGCATACCGGTTTAGGAGAAAGATCACATCAGAATTCAGAAGTGCAGAATTAGGTGTAATGTCTGGTTTTTAACCCGAAATCTGTGCTAGCAAGTTGCAACTCTAAGTAACCAAAAACATTAACTTCAAATCCAAATGGAGAATGTTGACTTGTCCTGACTAATCTTTAGCGACAATTAGAAGAAGATCAAATTTTAACCTACTATCAACATGGATTATCTTAATGAGTGATGCATATGATTTTGCGCCAACTATGACATGATTACTCTTCCATGTCCTGCCTACATGGATAAACTTCAACATGATTACGGAGGGGCAAAGGATAGACCTAAAGGTACCAACACATGCTCCTGCACACAAATAGAGAAAATGGGGGGACTAAAAGGGACTCACCTTAAGTCCACGTTCTCCCACCACTGTAGCATACTTCTGGGGGAATTTCATAATAGTGTCATGGATTGCAGCTTGCCGAGCAGCATTGTACACCTTATTGAAACATTTCATTTGATAACAGGGGAGACTCAGATAATATAGCAACTGAAGGTTGAAATAGAAGAAAATATAAAATTNCAAATTTAAAGTTCTTAACAGACCTCCTCCTCAGAGGCAGAGAGCCGTCCATAGTGGATATTGTGAAATATAGTATCATTGAATAGGACCTGGAAAAACAAAGAAATCGTTGTTTTCAACCCACGCATTACACAGGGACCACAATGAATATTAAGCTACATAATTTATGACAACTTACAGTATCCTGGGGAACAACGCCAATAGATTTCCGAAGACTCTCAAGTGTAACCTTCCGAATATCTTGACCATCTATTTTTACCTGTCAAGAGCAAAATGCCACCAAAAAGCTGAAAGATCTAACAAGAAAAAGAAAACTTTTGCCTGAGACGTAAATTCACTGTTCCATGTGCAATTATCTACATTTACCTCTTCACTTCTATCTTCTGTGTTCTAATATTTCAATCATGTAAACATGCAGCAAAACAGGATCAACATAATTCTCTGTGGAATATGACAAAATCCAGTCCCCTGCTAATGTTAACTTATGAGGGTGCATAAACTTGGAAATTCGGCTTCCACAGCACATGAATTTGCAAAGCGCCTTATGAACAGTCAGAGAGCGCAACCTTAACAAGTAGGGTTCATCAACCACATGGATAAAGATAAATGTAAACATTGTCCAGATTCCTTCTTACAGACATATTCTTTAAATTATATGCCTTTCGTATTTCCATCGCAATAGAACTCCCTATTCAGCAGTTTGACAAACGTTGCAAAGAGAATTCAGCCAACGATTTATCAACATACGGTTTGTAGTTTTTGTCAGACAGTCTTCTCTTTAAGCAAATGCGAAATACCAGTTTCATCATCATGCATGCCATTCAAGGACTTTTTGTCTGTTATTAATGATTAAAAAGCGATCATAAAGAACTGCACAGCGACAGACCACTTAAATTGCTAAGGCAAACAATCCAAGTTTAATATGATAAGACACACATAAAGCTCTCAAACATTGTGATGAAAAGCAGGCCCAAGCAATATGATTTGGCCGCTAACTGAGCATATGTAGATAAGTAAAATCCCACAATGATTAATCTTACATTTCCAGAATGGGTGTCAAAGAATCTGAAGAGCAATCTAAGAATGGTTGATTTGCCTGTAATAGAAAGTAATATGCGGATCAGGGGCTCGTAAAAAAGCATAAACAATAAGATTGAACGTAATCAAAGGTTCTACACAAACTTAAAATAATCTAGGAGATCCCACACTTGAAAATTCATAGTGCCCTCTTAAAAAGGTTGTATATTTCAGTCAGCTAAGAGGCACCTTATATTGGTCGGGATTTGGGGTAAGCCCATATTTATATTGCAAGAATATGTTTCCAGAAAGCTTTCTCAATGAAAAGAAGAGCAAAAACGAGAATGACCTTTTCAGTTGTTTGCCGCAGAAATCCTACACTATATTATATCATACTGGTCAAACTTCAACAAGCAAACAAAATTATACGATTTGATCAAGGGGCATATTATAAACATCTTATAAGAGCATCTCTAGTGATCCGACTTCAAAATTTATCCCTCATTTAAGAATCATAGAGGCTTCAGCATCCTATGCCACAAATTGCTTCCTTTAAATGCCATCCTAAGACCTATACTACTCGGATATACCTTTTTCACTCACGTCTGTTAGATTGCTAACTGAGATAACTCGCTTTTGCTTAATATGCTAAACCTAAATGGACAGTCGCTGGATTACAGAACAATTAAGTCCAAAATAAATAAATAAAACTGAAAAGTTGAAACAGAATAAGGAACAAATGACTGAAACCATACCACTACCACTCGTTCCTACAATAGCTACACTTTTTCCAGCTGGCACAGTAAAAGAAATCCCGTCTAGAATCTTCCTTTCCGTCAAATAACTATGAAAAAATGAAAAGTACAAGGATCAGCAAGCACATTCAACTAGTCTATTAAGTGGAACAGTAGAGAAAGCAAGCATATCTACTTCAAGCAAATATAATCATGATGAGTTGCAGTTCAAACGAAGAGCAGCAGCTGTACATCAACCTAACTACCGAAGCTGCAGAACCTAAAGAGCTTTGGAAATCTCCTACTTCCAAAGTACCTGGAAAGCATTTTTTTGAGAAAAACGTACTTGGAAAGCATTAAATATGTCACATCAGCATTGCTACCTAGGAAGATTTGTAAACAAGCTCATAACACATGCTTTGCTTTAGGATGGATATGTGACGAGAAATTAAAAAGCTCAAAAGCCCTGACATGGAAGTGCTTATATGGGCAGAAACAGAATGATCATTGACTACGAGATAGAAGAATTAGTATCTTTTTCCCTGCAATATCTAGATAAATAAAAGGAATTTCATTAATACCACTATACCAGACAAGATGGTGTCAGAAAATATGTATAAAAAATGAGTGGTTCAACCTCAGTTAGCTAATAAGTTACCCTAATAACCTATACAACTAGGGATGTTCAATTTACATCAAATGAATACGTGAAATAAGAAACCTTTTCAAACCGTTCATATCCCTTTCATTATCATGAAACAAGCTTCTGTCCAGTCATTCAACACTGTACAAAAATAACAGGACAGCATCTTCCTCCAGGTAGCACTCCACTCTTCCCTCAATTTGCATCGTCTCCAACTTGGTAATGTCTCCTAAATTGTGCTTGGTAAAACCCATGCCAGATTGAACAATGAACATGCAAAACTCCTCAACTATGAAATAAGTTAGCAGTGCAAAAAAATGTCATTCATATTTTAGCAACTTTCTTTGCACCAATAAGCACCTTCCACTTCCAACCAAGAGGTTGTGAGTTCGAGTCACCCCAAGAGCAAGGTGGGGAGTTCTTGGAGGGAGGGAGCCGAGAGTCTATCGGAAACAGTCTCTCTACCCCAGGGGGTAGGGGTAAGGTCTGTGTACACACTACCCTCCCCAAACCCCACTAGTGGGATTATACTGGGTTGTTGTTGTTGTTGTTGTCGTCGTCTTTGCACCAATAACACCGACTGACCATGATTCTCCCCTCCTTTCTTGAGAAATGGTAAAGTGATTCTCTTCCTCCTCCTTAGGTTCATAAATGGTCAACGTAGCATCCCTTACAGCACACGATTTGAAAAAATTACTCTTTTCTGGTGTTTTACTGCCTACATCTTTTATGACGCCTCTTCCTTCTCCGCTTCCTCCATTAACTCCCGGTAACATGATTTTAAGCAAAACAATTTTTATCCCTATACCCTCCATTACATCTTGTCCTAATTCTAGCACTCAATATTTCATGTAACTCCCAGATCCTCTTCCAAACAATCTGTGAGAAAGCACGGGAGAAAATATTATTAATTATTTAAAGTATTGTACAACGCCCTATATTTATATACAGTGATTACATAATAATAGGTATCTGCTTCCCGATATGGGACACTATACATGACTAACTAATTAACACTCCCCCTCAAGCCGGTGCATATAAATCATGTATACCGAGCTTGTTACAGATGTAACTAATACGAGAACCAGTAAGAGACTTAGTGAAAATATCTGTTAGCTGATCATTCGACTTCACAAACTTTGTAACAATATCTCCTGAGAGTAATTTTTTCTCTGACAAAGTGACAGTCGATCTCAATGTGTTTAGTCCTCTCATGGAACACCGAATTTGACGCAATATGAAGAGCAGCTTGATTATCACACACCAGTTCCATCTTGTTGATTTCTCCAAACTTCAACTCCTTGAGCAACTGCTTGACCCAAACTATCTCACACGATGCCATAGCCATGGCCTGATATTCGGCTTCGGCGCTAGATCGAGCAACTACATTCTGTTTCTTGCTCTTCCAAGAAACTAAATTACCTCCTACTAAAACACAATATCCAGACGTAGAACGTCCATCAGAAGGTGATCCTGCCCAACCAGCATCTGTGTACCCCAATAATCTGCTCGTGGCCTCGATCCTCGAATAGTAATCCTTTGCCTGGAGCTGACTTTATATACCGAAGAATGCGAACAACTGTGACTATCACAGGGATAATCCATAAACTAACTTACAACACTCACCGGAAAAGAAATGCCAGGTCTAATCACCGTGAGGTAATTCAATTTGCCAACCAACCTCCTATATCTCGTAGGATCTCTAAGAGGCTCCTCCTGTCCAGGCAAAAGCTTAGCATTCGGATCCATAAGAGTGTTAACAGGTTTGCAACCCATCATTTCAGTCTCCTCAAGAATGTCTAAGGCATACTTCCGCTGTGAAATAACAATACCTGAGCTAGACTGAGCGACTTCAATACCTAGAAAATACTTCAATCTGCCCAGATCCTTAGTCTGGAAGTGCTGAAAGAGATGCTGCTTCACATTAGTAATACCATCCTGATTATTGCCAATAATAACAATATCATCAACATAAACCACCAGATAAATACACAGATTAGGAGCAAAATGCCGATAAAACACAGAGTGATCAGCTTCACTACGAGTCATGCCGAACTCCTGAATAACTGTGCTAAACTTACCAAACCAAGCTCGAGGGGACTGTTTCAAACAATATAGTGGCCGGCGCAATCGGCATACAAGACCACTAGATTCCCCCTGAGCAACAAAACCAGGTGGTTGCTCCATATAAATCTCTTCCCCAAGATCACCGTGAGAAAAGCATTTTAAATGTCTAACTGATAAAGAGGTCAATGACGTACAACAACCATGGACAAAAAAAGACGAACAGATGCTACTTTAGCCACGGGAGAGAAAGTGTCACTATAATCAAGCCCAAAAATCTGAGTGTATCCTTTTGCAACAAGACAAGCCTTAAGCCGATCAATCTGGCCAGCCGGGCCGACTTTGACTGCATAAACCCAACGACAACCAACAGTGGACTTACCTGAAGGAAGAGGAACGAGCTCCCAAGTGCCACTCGCATGTAAAGCAGACATCTCGTCAATCATAGCATGTCGCCATACTGGATAGTGCCTCATATGTAGACTTAGGGATAGAAACAGTGGACAAAGATGATATAAAAGCATACTGAGGTAATGACAGACGATGATAACTTAAACCGACATAATGAGGATTAGGAGTAAGTGTGGATCGTGCACCTTTGCGGAGTGCAATTGGTTGACTAAGAGGAGACAAGTCTGCAGTAGGAGCAGAATCTGATGTAGGACGTGAATCACCTAGGCCTGATGCTTGATGTGGACGACGATGATAAGTCAAGAGTGGTGGAGCAATAAAAGGTTGAACTGGACTAGGTGGTGGAACTGGAGCTATAGGTGGTGGAACTGGAGCTATAGGTGGTGGAGCTGCAACTGGAGCTGTAGGTGATGGAGTTGGAGTTGTAGAGGAAGATGAATGGGAGATAGTGATTGAATCTCCAAAAGATGAAACTGGTAGTAGTGTTATCAAAGGCGAAAAGCGCAAAAAAACTCTAAGGTCCGTTGGGGCTTTAAGCGCAAAGTGCAAATAAAGTGTGCTTTAATGAAAAAAGGCGCAACTGGAGACAAAGTAAAAATATGTATATGTAGTCCAAGAATAATAATTATAAGCATGAATAACAAATATATGGACAAAGAAATTGAAAATAATTACGATAAAGTGAAATATCAAATGTTTAATGTCGCATTTACAGGATTACACTCATTGGCAAGGAAAAGTATGCCTTAGAGCATTGATGCGACACTAAAGCTTCCACAAAGCGAAGCGCTCAACATGTTTTGAGCCTCGCTTCAGAGCTTAAGCACGCTTTAAGCGCGCCTTTGACAACACTGACAGGTAGCACCTCAGAAATATCTAAGTGATTACCTGGACCTGTGAAGTATGATTGGGTTTCAAAGAAGGTAACATCAGCGGACATAAGGTACTACTGGAGGTCAGGAGAATAGCATCGATACCCCTTTTGCGTTCTCGAGTAACCCAGAAATACGCACTTAANTCCAAAGACACGGGGTGGAAAAGAGAACAAAGGTAAGTGGGGAAACAAGACAGAGAATGGAACTTGATTCTGGATAGCTGAAGA